AATAATAGATCCAACATCAGGAATAATCAAATTAAGTCATATGTTTAACACTTTGTCATTAAAAAATTTACCAAGATCGCTCGATTTAATTCATATTTGTATTGCTAACTCAAACTTAAATCCAACAATTGAAATTAAAAAAGGTAAGACAATTAAATAACTTTTAAATCCTTATATATTTAAAATAATTAAAAAAAAACGTTGATTGTTAAAATGGTAAAACAAGCTTATTTTTTTTGTAATTTACTACAATATTAATAAAGTTATTAAATTTTTACAAAAAAAAAGAAGTAAAAAATAATCTTAATATTCATTTCAAAGCCATTTTCAAGGGCTTTTTTAATACAAATATTAAAATCTTTGTAACATTATAACCTGTATTTGTATTGGGTTCCTACTTAGGATGAGACACGGTGACGTGTTGGAGTGGACTGTACACTTAACTTTTACGAATAACTACAATAATATAATTTAAGTTCTAGAATTTACAGTCATTATTAAATGAATAATGTAATAAAAATCATTCACAATTTTATATTTATGTGACACTTTATACAACATCATATCAAACATTATTGAAAATTGCTTACCCAGACTATTAGTTGTACACTTACTAATTAACTAACTAAATCGTACTAACATAAATACTACAGTAATACGGGTTGGGTTAATTATTCATAAATTATTGTTGTTTTCAAATTAAAATTTAATACTGATCATTATATGTGTTTATATTCTATTTCAATATATTACTTAATGAATATTTACAATATTAAAAATTAAAAAAAAATTAGGGTGCCGAAAAATCCTCATCGAGGTCGCAAAAGATGTGAAACAATAATTTCTGTTGAACAGTACCAGTTTCGAGACTGCAGTCGAAGAACGCGAAATTTAAAGCGCAGAAAACGGAAAATTCTTCCAGGTGACTCATATTTTGAGGGGTTTACGAAAATAGGATGTAGAGGGAGTTAGAGAGAGACAAATTATTTTTTATTTATAGATTAATCAAGGGAAACTCAAAAACTATAAACGATAGCCCATTGAAATGTGTTATAAAAATTATGAACAGTCTAATCGAAAAAGAAAATTCATCAAAATGTATGGTTGTAGTGATGTCTAAAGTAAGATATACAATAAACGCATGTAACTATTTTAATTTTTCCTTGGCTAATATATCAACAACAATTAAATTGTATAGATATTTTTATTATTAATACCTTAAATAAACAAATATTTATTTAAACTAAATCACAAAATAATTTTTTAAATCCTTAAAAATATATTATTTTATGTAAACACAAAACTTAAAAAGATATTTTAAATAATATAATCATACAAATTTGTATAAGTCATAAATTGTATATTATTTGTACAATAATTATGTCAAGCAAGATTCCATACTGTTGTGCATTCTTAAACTGTGAAGTTTGTATTAATAATATATTAATATTAATTAATCCCAGCATAAATTAAATCATTAACTTTAGTCTGTTTATTTATTATAGTAAATTTAATTAAATTTTTTATTCATCTCTAAACTCTTATTTATGTATTGTTAAATAGCTATAGTTAAAAAGAACGATCAATGTTAGATATCAAATTTACTATTAAATTTAATAATTTTCTAGAAATTCAATATTAATGAAAATAAATATTGTAATTTATGGTTTTTAGTTTGCAAAATACAAACTCCGTGTAAGACGACGAGATCCACTTGAAGATCATGATCCTAATTCACAGGACAGTGGTTCTCTTACTGCTCGTTCAGATAATTCTAAATCAGTGTCAACATTATCTGAGAGCAATGCATCATGTACAGCTGATTCAGATGATGAATTCTTAGACATTTCTGTATCCCCAACAGGATCGGTAATTATTTTACCTTTTAAAAAGGTTAACAGTTTTTTTCCTAATTTTATTTTATTTCTAGTCTCCAGATTCACTTCTACTTGGATTCAGTACATTAACAGAAGGAGATATTATTAGCCAGTCATCAATTATTGTTAAAAGAAAAATTACAAAATATTCTTCAGATACTCCTCGCAAGACTGTAATTATTATAAAACAATTTATTATTTCAATAATCATAGATATAATATNCAATTTATTATTTCAATAATCATAGATTTAATACATGTATAACTTATAGGATTTATTGTTTGGTGACATTAAAAATAATGAAGCAGTTGTGAGAAAAAGAAAGTTTACGAGTGATTTAGAATCAAGTCCTGAAATTAACGTATTATTAAAGAAAACTAGACCTAGTACGAAATCTAAACCGGCCGAGAGAAGTTAAGGTAAGAGGCTTTGAGCCGATTCAGTTTTATTTCTAATTACAGTAGAACCTCATTAATCCGAACCAATAAGGGCTCTAGGTTGTCTGATTTAATGAAAGTCCGGATTAAACAAAATAACCAAAAAACATGTTCGTATTATAGATTTAAGAATATTATATTACACTAATTACTTTGTATGATATACAATATATATGTATTGCAACATGATATTAGTTTATGATAACTTTAATGACGGTAGATAAGAATATATGTACTTATGGGAAATTCGAGGAACTTGCTTTTATGTTTATTTTAGTCTACGGCATAAACTGCGTATTTTTCGTTATACTAGACAGCTGTCCGGATTAAGCCAAGTCCGGATTAATGAGGTTCTACTGTATATTAGATTTTAGTTTTAACTTGGAACGGTGAAGTCTCCCTTACAAATTTTTATTGTTCATATAGTCATTTGAACGAATTTCACTGATGACAGCAGTGAATTTTTACCTGGGTTATTCACAGTTACGTGTTAGCGGGATTAGATTTGACTTGGTCTCTGGAAAATTTTTTATAAAAATAAAGTTAGAGTAGTTTATCTAAGACAGTCCGCTGTAACTATTGTCGTTGAAAAGTGTTGGTTACAGTTTATTATAAAGACCTTATTGTTATCGACAGAAAGTTAATTTCCGGTCGATTGTTACAGTCTATTGGTAGATAAAAATAGTATATTTACGTCTGACCTTGTCAAAGCGGTCGATTCGGTCGTAGCGCCTTTACCGGAGGAACATCCGGTGAACCTCGCGCTACACACATCAATTTTATACATGAAAACCTTATAATATGTGTAATTATTAATAAACATCTTTTTTAGACTTGATTACTGGTAAGTTAAGAAATTAAACACCAAATAATATAAAAATCTTGACAGTGGACAAATCGGTAGCGAGAAATTGTTATGTAATATGTTAAGATTTTCAACAGAGAAAATTAAGAAAATTAAATAATAGTCAAATTTAAATCAATATTAATAAAATAAAAAACACATGTTTTATCGAATTTGTATTTAAAACGAAAAGTTTCATTTAAATCAAATAGCAATCGCCTTTTAGTAATAACTGGTTCTTATCTTAATATGCGCTAACGGTGTTACCCGTACATCAATAATCGTGACTATTACTTGAATATCAGCAAACTAGACAGTTATTATTAAATATTTAATATTTACGAGAGGATATATAGCGCTATCTTTACGGGTATAAATCAACAAAAAATCGGTTGCCAATTGTCTGAATGTCGTGGCCTATCTATGTGTATTTAATCTATGCTTATTTTTATAACGCCAGATGACGAAAGTGTTCTTTATGTATTCTTTTGGAACACTTAGTTTGTTATAATACAAAACGTGTGAATGCGTTATGACAGTCTAGTCTCAAGGCCATAAACGACGGGATACGCGAGATAATAACACGTGGTGTGTAGAGAGTTCCACACATTCATGTGAAACTAATATAAGGGTGTTAAAAACACCCTTTTCTTTATTGGTAAAAATAGAAGTGCGTATAATGGAGGTCTGGACTCTTAGGTCAGACATTCATAAACATAAAATTATGATAGCCAAACGTAGCCAAATGATCGGTAAAGTAATACCTTAAAAATGTTTTATAATTTCCTACAGTCTTCCAAAATAATAGATCCTAGTTTAAGTCTATCAGATGATGTTTTAAATTATCAATATCGATCAAGTGAAAATGTTATTTTTCATCATCTGAATCTAAATTTGACTAAATAAGTAAAGAATGTAGTACAAAATTCAGCCTTTTTATTCCTCTTATTTTCAGTAGTCATCACCAAACAAAAGTTGCATTTGTAAATGCTCACTCTTAACAACCACAAAGTGATATACTATTTACTTTGAAAAAATGATTGCTTTAGCAGAATTAAAACGTGGTACAGGAGAAACAGTGTATAATGTCATAAATAAAGAATTAGAATCCTTAAATATTTCTTTAACTCATTTGATTGGAGAATCATATGATGGTGATTTTAATATGAGCAGGAGTTTAACAATCTTCAAGCGTATTCGAAAAAATTGCACCAGAATCTCTTTTTACGCATTGCCATATTCACATACCAAACTCAATTGTAACTGATGTCACCTAGTGTTTTTAACTGCTCAAGATATATTAAAATTATTAAATAAAGTTCCAGTATTTTTTTCTGATTCTTATGAGAGAAATGGAGTACGGAACACTAAACAAGACAAATTGATAAAAATTCAGAAGTTATAAACTACAAGATGGAATAGCAAGAATATCACATTAAAAAGTAATTATGGTCAAATGATAGAACTATTGATCAATACATCAACACGTTTTACTAGTCACTATATTTTATTGATTTAAATTAAAGATTTTTAGTAGAAAAATGGTCATCTTTTCAACATTTACGAGGAATTATTTTTTTTTCTTTAACTAAATACTTTTTGTGATTTTTTGGCATATTTTTTATTAAAATATATCCAGTGAAAACTGAAATTAAGTGGTGACAGACTCAAAAAAATATAACATTATAGTAAAATTAATACCTGTTCAGATTTGAATCGAAACTAAAATATTGTTTATATAACAAGTGTTTTATACAATTCCATTTTTTTTTTTTTATTTGTGATTTCTAGTTTTAGATTAGAAGATATTATAATAATTGAGATGAGTAAAATCAGGTTTTTCATTAATGTAGCTCCCTCCATGAGCCCAAATCTCAAAAAACGCTCAAAGCAAAGATAATACATACTTTATAAAAATATTTTATTATAAAAAATAAAAATTATACAAACTGTCAATTTTAAATTAATCAAATCAAAGTTAAACAAAAATTAGGATTTTCAATTTTAATTTAAAATTAAATAAAACTACTAAAAAGAAAATTCTTAATGTAGTTATAGTCAATATTTTTAATATGAATTTTCACTTATAAAACATATTTATTATATTTATCAATTAAAAAAGAAACAATTAATTAATAGACAATTAATAATTAAACCTTGTAGTTTAGTTTTTAAATTGTATCAAAAATTAAAACAATGGAAGCTTGAATATAAAATATCAGAACATTGTTTAAATTATAATGTTGGTCTTTGGCCTATAAACATTGGTTTTGAGATGACATTTTTCTTTTGATCATTTCTTGTTGAAGTCACTACAGACTGTTAAATAAAATAATAAGAAATTAATTATTCAGCTTGTCATCAAATTTAAATAAAATATTTCCAGAATATATTATGTACAAAAAATAGATCTCCCATTTTTAAGCTGGGTTACAGCCACAAATTTAATATTTTTAAACTCCCTGATTTTTCCATTTTTTTTTTTTAATTTCATACTTGGTCTACAATATGTAAATATTTTTACATTGGAAGGGCGGTTAATTTTATCAAAACCAAGATTATTTTTAATATCAATTAGAATTCTCAAAATAAGTTAGGCAAGGGTTAGCAATAGACTATCCATGAGCCAAAAATGCCTACTAACAAATGAGAATTTACTGATCCACAAGAATAAATAAATATTTTAATTTAAAGTTACTATTTTAACCAATATTTAAGTTAAATTATATGCTGGCTATAATCAAATTAAAAAAATATAATCATCAAAATCCCAAATATTTCCACGACCTTCCTGCCCATTTTAAAATGTTCCAACTTTTAGAATTTATCAGCCTTGTAAAAACTATGTTCAAGTTTTATTAAGGCCACTTAACAAAACTGGATTCCATATTATTTTATTTTTTTACAAAGTATAAAAGAAAATGGCTGGTCAATAACAACTTTTGACAGATTATTATACCTTGGCAATAAGATTATACAATGATAAAAATAATCATACACGTAATTCACTTCTAGTCTATATATTAAAATGCTAATAACATTTAAAATACTTGTCCAAAAGTTATAATTGATCAGTCATTTTCTTATTTAGATTTTATAAGCTAGTTATATATATGTTGCCATTTAAAAAAAATTAAGTTGACATTGGTTGACAATAAAATTATTGTTAAAAAGGAAATATATATAGGTTAATTATTTATAGACATTAATTTTACTTTGTAAATTAAATAATCTCTATATGTACCACTGTTTATAAAATTTGATACATACATTTAAATTTTGATTGCTATTTTGCTGATGATTTGTACCAATACTTGAAGAATTTCCCACTCGAGATTTCTCCTACAAATATAAAATGAAAATCTTATTTTATCATATAATAATTGAAATAAAATTTATTTCAATTTTAATTAATTATTATAAAATTTAATTAAATACAAAACAAACTAAATTTAGAATATTTTAATACTTTTAAGATAAAATTTTTAATTTAACTAAATAAAATAATTACAATAAATTAGGGCATAAAAACAATTTTAAATGAAAATTATTTTAAATTTTAACAATTAAAATTTAAAATTTTCTGAATATAATTTATATAACTAATTTCAAAGAAATATGCACTATAAAATTTATATATTTATTAATTATTAATTTGTGATCTAACATTTTGTACATGTGCTTGGTGCAACTGTACGCGATGTTGTTTTCTTTCTGATTTTGTAAGTCCATGTTTAGCTCTCATGACAGTTGAAGTTTCATTTATTGTTTTTAAAACATCGACACTTTCAGCCTATAAATTTTAATAATTGATGAAGAGATCAATTTATTATATATGATGCTACAAAATTATACATTGTCCCAGCATTCTTCATATTCATATTCTGGTGGTTCATTCTCCATAACAGGAACTGGACGTTTAACATCTTCTGATGAATAGATAAATGTATCAAATAATACTCTATCCGGGCATACTTTTTCATGAGCCTTAAAATTGAGATATTAGTTTTAATGCATTTTAATAATTAAATATAAACATTAAAAAAAACTTAAAAATTAAATAACTATTTTTATTCAAATTTTGTGGAAACTTTATCTCTTTGTATTAAAAAATACTAAGTGAATTTTGTTTTTTAAAATTTTTTTTTTTAAGACTAATCAATTAAATATTACTTTTTTTATATAATTAAAAAATAAGTAATTTTATGTATTTATACATAAAAACAATTTTTACATACTTTAAACATTTAGATTTTATGGGTGAAGATTTTTATTTATATAAAATATAAGAGCACAACATTTTCATATAGATTATAAATTTTGAATCAAGTTTAAAATAAAACAAAGAGAAAAGTATACTTTTTATATGCAGATTTCATTTTGATCTGACTATGTTGTAAATGAACATTTTTCAAAGTTAAAAAAAAAAAATTATAATTAGATATTGATTTACTACTGAAAGCTTAAATTTTGGTTTGTTAAACTAGATAAATTTTGTGATACAATAAAAATGCTCTTTTTAACTATATTAAAAATGAATTAGGATTATTTAAAATTTAAGACGTCTATATAACTCCACATCTTCATATTTATTTTATGTTATTATTAATTATAAACAATAATCAATTATTGACAATTATTTAACATGACAATTCTATAGTCTAGATTAATACAATTTTAATAATTGTTCAATTATGTATAATATAAAAAAAAGTTATTATATATTTTCTTACATTTTTATTTGTTGTTAAGAAGAAATATTAATATTAGTTATAAAGTTAAAAATTACTTCTTGTTCACTCATATGCATGGCATGCATAAAGTTATAAACACAATTAACATAGTTTGAAGGTTTATCAGGACACTTGACAATATGTTTTTGTACAGTCTTTTTTGGCATACAATGAGAAGGATTGTAAGGACAATGATACTGCATTGTTTCAGTTGAAATGTGCCTAAAAAATGATTGGAAATAATACCAGTAAAGAAATCAAGAATATATTTATTAAGATATGACAGGCCATATTTAATAATTCAGTATCTGAGTACTAGTGTATGTTTCTACTTTCATCTATTTATATATTATATTTAACTATTTATGACTATAGTTTTCTTTATAATCATACAAAAATAAGTACATAATAAATTATTAATAAATCATCCAAAAGATTGTTGCCTATTCAATAAAAAAATATATACATGTAATTTAAACAAGATAAATTAATAAACTCATGAAATAGAAAAAATAGTTTTAACAAAATTGGACACTACTTTTTTATGGTTGGGTTTATTATTATTAACATATAAAATATTATTATTATTATAAACCCATTCAATTTATAACCTTTTAAATTGTTTCAAATAATATGAAAAATGGATATTCAACTAGAATTATCATAGAAATATTTTAATAAGTTTTTAAATAAAAATTGTAAAATGGGGATTTCCGAATAACAGTCACTTCGACTTACAAATTATGTAAGCATTATAACATATAAATACTTACATTGTTTCCATTTTGAATATTTTCCCTTCAAAAATTTACGAAAATCCAAAAGAAACAATAGATCAGGCTACAGAAATAATACTTATTGTTCCATAGATTTATAATATAAACAATATCACTATAATGATTATGCAATGGCATCAGTGTAGCCAGCATTACAAAATGTTATGGTCATTTTAAATTATTAACAAAATCATATTTTATTTATAAAAAATTCTACAAAAAAACATTTCCTGAGATAAATATTAGAATATGTATATATTATACATTTTATCAAAGTAAACAAATCATGACAAAAAATATAATGAAGTGAGAGTAAAAAATTATATTTTATTTTATAAAAATATATACATTAAATCAAAAAAACATTTTATTAAATAGGTAACTTCCCATATGTTAAAATAATTACAGAGAGCCTTAAAAACATGAATACATTTTTTTTGCATAAAACATATTTTGTTTATAAATATGTTTAAAATATCCATTGATGTTATTGCTTTAAACTGTTTAAAGATATGAATTTAACATAATAATTCATCATTAATTTAGTTTTCATAATATCAGAGGCAACACTGTAATTGTATAATACAGTTTCAATGCGTTATAAATTACTTTTATGGTAGTTATTAAGACAATTTTCCCACACCGGTCATTCAGTAATGAACCACAGTAAACTTGAGTTGAATATAAGAGTACACATCTATTAATAGACATGAATTATTAAAGATAAGATTTCTATTCAATGGATAATATCTAACTACCTGTGCAATTGATGACTAATGTATGTTACACAGCAAATTATCAATAGAAAATTGGTCAAATAATATTAAGAGGACGCCATACAGAGAATGAAAAACGGTTTTAAACATGTTTTGCACGGGATTTCTTTATTTGATATGTATTGATGCTAGAGACCCAAATTATAGAGGACAAAATTTTCTGTGATCTAGCGTTTTCATTTTTTTGTTAACATAATTTCTAGTACTTTATATTTACTATTAAACTATTTTTTTGGTTTTTTAAGTATTTGATAAATAGCTTCAGAGTTGCGCTATTTAAATTATAAAAACGCTAGATCACATATAATTTTCTCCTTTATAATTTGATAAGAAATTAAGGACTCTAGCATCGATACACATCAAATAAAGTAGTCCCGCGCAAAACAGTTTTTATGCAAAATAATGAATTTTTGTCTATCGACATGTGTCGGTCCCTAGTGGCATTTATAACGTGACGAATTTTACATTGAATGACGGTAACCGATTACCCTCACCCTTCAACTACTACCTTGCCAATGATCAAAACCAGTCATTTTATACTTTGTATCGACGCACCGGGGTACCATTTAGCAGTCGCTTCTCTAAATTTGTAAAATAATTGTTATTATTGACGGGTGACGAGACTTAAATTTTAACTTAACTGTGTTCATTTATACATGTAAATAATAATGAAAATATCAATTGATCGGTAATCTGAAAGAAATTTACGTGGAGTTTTATTTTGTAACATTAGAAAACATTCTTGTTACGAATATGAGTCCACAGTATACATTACATTCATGGGCAGCAGGACGGATCAACCATCTTTTTAGTAGCCGGCAAAATTAGATATTCTTTCTCCAAAAATTAATTATTTACCAAAAAAATAAAGGTCATGAAAAATTTGAGTATGGTTGTAAAGTTCACCGGTCCTGATTTATTTATACATTGTATATTATATCATTTAATTTTTTGTGAGTTTTAAGACATGTATCAGTTTTACAAAAAGTTTGTAACACGAATAATAGGCCTTGGCGTTATTAAACAGCATTTTACAAATTTCTGATTGACTATAATTATATTTAGGATACATAGAATACTCCTTACATAATACATTTATTTTATATATGTATTGAGAGGGCATACGCACTAAGTTTACTTGCATTATAGTGAGTATAAACTTAAATTAAATTTTACATGAACATTTTGACATTCAAATTTTTTAATCTAAAATAAAATCTGCTATTGCGTATTTTATTAATTTAGAGATAAACATTTTTAATTTACATTTTTGCACATATCAAGTTTTTCACGACTATCTTAATTTAAGGTTAGTTATAAATAATAATTCTTTGGAAATTGAATTTGAACGAAATGGTAGAAAAATAATATATGATAAAGGTGTTTTTTATTTTTTTTATAAATGTGAGATGGCATTTATTTTATGATTTCTATATCCGTTTGTTTGATAATCGGTATAAACAAATGTATCTAATATACATTCGTTTATGTATATTATTTCTTGATAATATCTTTCACAAATTTTATACTGACCAAATAAAAATTTATACTTTTATTTTTTGCTTCATTTTGCATTATAACGTTAAACTGAAAGTTGATATTTAAATTTTACCACGTTTTGTGTATTTTGTGTAACTCGCGTTACTTATAATGTCACCTAAAAGGCAACGTGTTTATAAAAGAAAAAATATTTTATCAAAAACTAAACTTTAATTAAGAATGAAGAATATCCAGAAAAGATTCCATAAAAATAAGTCGTAAGTATATTTGATAACTTAATTTTTGTTGCTGTATATAAAAACAAATTTGCTGTCATTAGAGCTGGCTGCTTATGATGATCCATATTTTTTTCACTCTGATTATATTTGATTTATAAAATTAAAATTTTTTTCACATCATTTTGAGACTATATTTATAATAAGAATCGATTATATTTATAAAAATATATGTGTGTATGTATTACATATTATTTAGATATTGAAAAACATACTTCAAAATTTATACCTTAAATTTATATTCAATTTTTTAATGTTCTTATTATAAGACGAATAATTATTTTATGTAGAAAATTGAATGAAATACCACTAAACTAGTAAGTATCAAATTAATTAAGTAATATTTATTTTTAAAAACTTACAAATTTAATTTTTAGTTACTATATTGCAAGTTTGAAAGTACTAAATTAAAGTTAAAAGAAGACCACTTGTACTTTTATCAAGTAATTGGACAATTACACTCTACACGTAGAGAGAAATGTTTTTTGTAATTTATACTAACAAATGAATAAATATAGAGGATATATACTACAATCAAACATTTTGGAATGAAAAAATGTCAAACCAACTTAGAATGTAAACCAATCAATTAATAATATATAATGTTAAAAAATATAAGTAAAAAGTCACTAATATTTTACTTTCATAGGTTTTACATGGAGTGTTTACTCCCAGAGATTGTAAATCATCAGTTCCCAAAGAGATTGCTCAAATCGGATATAAAAGAACCAAAAAAATATCAAAAAACACAAGAAAAAATTAATATATATATAAAATAATTAAAAATTTGTTTAATTAATTTTTGTTCTTCTTTTTCCTTCGACTCTATACTGACTATTTTCAAGGTAAAACCATAGTGCACTAAATTCTAACAGATGACTGTAAATTAAAGGTGATTGTGTCATGAATAGTGACACTGTATTAAAAGATAAAAAAACTTTTATTCTCTATTCTCGGTCGAAAAGAATCGATTAACAATCAGAAAAAATTTAAATAATTAGTTCCCCAACAGTTTAAATAATATCCAATGTTTTAAACTTAACTAAGTACTAACTACATACATATTACTAGATATTATTATTATATATTTCACATAACACAATAAATTATATAAAATTAAATTTTTCATTGTGAATAAATTATTAACTACAAATGTGATATTCATAACACTTTAACTTTTAATAAGCGGTAGCATTTGAAATAATATCATATAATAATATTATTATATTTTATTATAATTACATATTAATTTTATGTTATATTATGTGAGCTTTATTATCGCCTTTATCAATGAAAATAATATGTTACGCACAGCGTAACAGTCAATATTAGAATGATGTGCTACTCCAAAATAATATTAGGCGGTCGTACAGATGCCCGCATGCTATATGGAATGATGGACTAGGGGTGATTGAAGAGTTCGGTTGTAAAACATCTAAAAGCGCATTCTCTCGATAATATTGTTGTTTCGTTTGCTAGTATACCGTCCTCTTAAGTAATATCAAAATTATTTAAAATAGTTTATCAATTAAAAGAAAAGATATAAGAACATTTTTTTTCTATTACATCAAATTTAAAAATAGGGGTTGCATCAAAGTAAATTGAATTATAGGGTTTTTATTCCTTGAGATATGAAAAAAGGGAGTTGGTGTGAGCGTAGCAAGCGACTTTAATTATTTATGTCTACGCATATTACTTTTAAATAATTCTTAAAGTATTTGGATGTAAATTATAAGAAAAGTACAATGTCGCTAAAATGGTATTATGTACCAAACTGATATCAAATGCTTTGTAATTTACATATATATATTTTCATGTAATGGTTATCCAAGTCATGATTACCGTGTAATAAATAATAAAATAGTCTAAAAGGCAGTAAGACATTTAAGATTATCATAAAGTAAGAGACTATCAACTTTATAAAGTAAAAAGGCTAAGGTAGCAGTCTCTCTTTTCTCCTTTTTTTAGTGCATCAGCACAGTAATGCAGTAGTTATTGGATAGAGTAGAATAGCGTAGAACAGATGAAATAGAGTAGTGGAGTTAATTAGCTATTTAACACATGGTGGAAAGTGAGTCAGAAACAATCTCGATTACAGTACGCTTCGTGATACTTGCAATTCTTAAACCGATGTTCTAATTATTACTACCTATCTGCAATTTATTTTAAGAGCTTAGATAATGACAACGAAAAGGTGAGTTATTAACCCCTGTCATCGATTTTAATTACTAGAAAAGTATTGATCGTTTTTAAATAATAAGGTTTTATTAGTAGTCTTCTTCTTCTTCCTCGCCTTAATCTCAACTGCTTATGGTCGGCAACCCATATCCTAAACTTCCACTTGACACGATCTCCCACATCAGCTGTCCTCATATCGTATTCAATAGCATCCCTTTACTTCTTTTTTGGTCTTACTCTACCTCTTCTTCCTTCAACATTCATTTCTATAACTGTTCTTACAGCTTCCGAATCCTCTCTCCTCATAATATGACTAAACCATCTAAGTTTATTTTCTCTCATCTTATCCAAGATTGACGCTACAACTATACTCCCTCTTATATGCTCATTCCTTATCCTATCTTCTCTAGTCACTCCACTCATCTATCTAAGCATTCTCTGCTCTACTTTCTTATCAACTGCCCAACACTGAACCATACATCATAGCTCGCCTCACTACAGTCTTGTAGAATTTACCTTTTAGCCTCATAGGAATTTTTTTATCGCATAAGACGCCAGACGCTTCTCTCCACTTCAACTATCCGCACTTAATTCTGTCTTGCATCCTCGTCAATACGGTTTTACTAGTAATCGAATTCATTAATATAATTGTAATTAATTTTATTATACTGTAAAAATACACGGTATGTTAAAAGTTCTAGGAAGGAGACGTTCGTGCTGTTGCCATCGCCACTCGAGGAAGAAGTTTATGGTGCAAGGCTGTGTTAACGCACATAAAACCATATTCTTATAATTTAATATGTCAACAGAATAATCTCACATCATGAACTATCAAAACAACCTTATTATATTTGCACCACGACCACAATAAAATATAATAATTAATCATATGAAGTAATTTACTCGTGCTCTACCATATTTAGCCCTTTATTTTTATATTTTAATATCGAAATAATAACAAAGCCTGTGAATATCTCCAACATTCTTTAATTTCTTCTTTTGTAAATGGAATTTGAATTACTACAGATATAGCGTTTGATGTATATAAAATTTTTCAATAGATAAATATTTCAAATTTCTACCATATTAGGGTCGCCTAATAAATAACTGCCCTTCCTTGTGTGCTAATGAAAGTTAGCATGGCACTGACCTCCAGAAAAATGTTCAAAATCCATCACTAATAATACTATATAACAACAAATAGTATTTAAGATTAATTAGAAATTAATAGTCTTTTAATTCAGTCATACAATAAAAAGAATTTACTGTCATTAATTTTCAAGTAAATCTGTATTATTGATAAAGATCTATTATGACGTACAACCCTAATTTTTGTATCGTACTCGTACATTACCTCTAATTATCGTAAAAGTACGATCTAGATCGCATATTTAGTAATACAATTAACAAGTAAATTTTGGGTGGACAACTTTCGTTCTAACAAATTTGTGGAACAAAAGTAATGATACACGAATTTCAATATCTTATCACTTCGTAGTTAGAGATATATAGTATAGATAAGAGAAAGAATGTGATTTTTAAAATAAAATTGTTAAAATGTTACACTTAATCTTTATATGAATTTATCACATACATGCAGCTGGTTTAGATTTAATGTACTTTTTGTGATACAAATTGTTTATTAGAACAATACGATGACTATTCAAATGACTACTTTTTAACGACTTGAACTTTTTCGGTTTTGAGAATATGTATTAATTATGAAAACTGATTTCATTTAGATCTTTTTTAAGCTAATTTTTTTGAATAGTATATAAATAAAATTATTAATATATGATAATGACATCTCATGAATTAGATTCGTTTTCAATTGATGGAATTCGACTTTTCTCCACATCATTAATTGTAAGATGAATCAAGTTTTGTATTATATTTGGCTTGTGTATTTTGATTCTACGCTTTCAAACAATTTCATGATTCCTTACCATAAATTCATATTTGCTATCTTATTAAAATTATAATTAAACTTTAAATAAACTAAATTTATTATACTAGTTAGTTATTCTATTATGAACTTAATTGTATCTATTTAATTGTTATAATTTAGATTTGATTAAACAGATTTGAAAATATAAATTTTTCAAAACTTAAATAGATTTTAAATGTAAGAAGATTCATCTTTCAACATATAAAAAATGATAATTGTGAATTTTATTAAATTTGTAACTAATAAAAAAGTTGCTGTAAAACTGAAAGTGATTTACATATATGTAACACAAAGTATATAATTTCATTATTACATTAAATACTATATTACATCGTCTTCAAATGTATTAATTTACAGTAAGGTAAAATAATATTTATAAATTCCATAAACATATAATAAGAATTTATCATTCATGACTAATATTATTCATGATATTAATTTATAACTAGAAAATTTAAATTTAAAAATTACTTACACATATTTCGTAAACAATAGTACCATCATCATTTTTTAATAATTTTAGTGACTTTTTATTAAATAGTCATTATATTTTTTAGTTTTAAATTAATATTTTGTAATTTTAAATCTATGAAAATTTTAAAGTATCTAGGTCGACTAAAGAAATTTTGCATTTAAACCTAAACTTGGTGTATATAAATTTCATAAAAGCTATAATACTTCTCTTTTAAATTTCAAAATATATTATGAATATGTCCAAATTCATAAATAATATTTCGGTTTTTTTTTTCAAATCTAATATTGTGCTTAATTAGAAATATTGATAAAATCAATTTTTTTATTTTTACAAAACTAAAAATTTGAATTTTTTTTGTCAAAATACATTATTGTATTTAACTAATTAATTTTAGGGAGGTGCAGCCGCTGGTATTATTGTAGATACTGCACTTTTTCCATTAGATACTTTAAAAACTCGGCTACAGAGTCAATATGGATTTATTCAATCAGGAGGTTTTAGAGGTATTTATAAAGGATTGACCCCGACAATAATTGGCGCACCTTTAACAGGTTAGAGGTACACTAAAATGTAGTTTGAATTGAAAATGTAAAGTGTTATATTTTTAGCTGGATTATTTTTTGGAACTTATGATGGTTTTAAAAATCAGTTTTCTAACGTTCCTAGTAATTTAGTTCCAATTGTTCAGATGAGTGGAAGCGTTGTTGGTGAAGTGGTATTTATATCTATATTTTTTTAGTTTGTCTCTAAAAATTTTCTTGTATATTTAAAGATTCAATTTCCTTAAATTAAACTCTATTTTTCTTATTTAATTATATGTATTTTAAGTGACATATAAAATAGTTTTATTAAATAAATATTTTTTAGTTAAATAGAGATTAATCGTATAATCTTTAAAATAAATAAAATGAATGGTTAAAAAAACGTTTTTTGTCATACTTACTTTTGAATTAAAAGCTAGCTTTTACTATATAAAGGGTACACGGATGAACAAGATAAATCAATTTTTATTTTTAATTGATATTTTGGTGACAAAATATTTAATATGTCATAATGTATATTTTAAGATGCCAAGCTAATGGAAAAAATAATTTATTCTAATAGTACTAAAATAACATCTCATTTTGAAATTTAAAATTCAATTTTTTCAATTTACTATTTTGTATTTCCATGTACCCTTCATATATCGTTATTCTTAACAAAAACTATACTTTTCTATGGATTTTACCATTAGAATTAGATCAAATTAAATGTGCAAAAAAAAAATAGGGTACTACACTGAATGATTAAATTATTTTATCATAGGATTAATTGAAACCAGACTCTAATAAAGTAATTACATTATACATTTTAATGGGTAAGATTTATAAAAGTTATAAGGCTAGGCCAAACTTAAATTTTTATGCCATACAATCATGCAAGTATTATGAATCCTCATATTTTTGAAAATGAGTTTTTGTTTCTTGTCATCTGTATCTCCTGATAAAGTAAACAACCTATAGTATTTTTTATTTAAAAATTTGAATGGGAAAATATTAAAGTTGACAAGAGTCAGTATCATTTTTATTCTCTATAACTTCCAATTTATACAGATGATTTTAAATTAAATACCTTAATGTCTTACAATACTATTAGCTTAAAATGTTAAAAATTAAATCTAAAAGCTTAAAATAATATGAAATAAAAATCAGAATTCTCTAGGAGACATTTAGTACTAAAAATGACACCGACATTTCAGAAAAAAATAAGATAAATGAATACAATTAGGATTAATTTTTAATTTATTTCTAAATTAATTTATAGTTTATTAGTTAGATAAGTAAACACAAAGTGATCTATCAATCACAAAACATTAATTTTCTCAGAAAATATTGAATATTTTCAATTTTGAAGAAGTGAAATATTTAATTAAAAAACTTTTCAATTATGTGTTAAAAAAAAATCATTTAACTATATATTATTGTAAAGTTTTTGAATCAAACACTATTTTCCTTCACAAAAATTGAAAATATTTGATAGTTTCCTAGAAAAAGAGTGTCTTGTTTTTTAATAATTTTATATTCCTAAGTGTATAACATAATTTTAGATAAATTTTTACTAGATTGTTAAAACATTCCAAGTAACATAATTTAACGAGTTTATTTCTTTTGAGAAATTTAATATATTTGTATGAAATTTATACATAAAAATATAGTTTCATTTAATGAGCTGTTAATTAATTTTATTGAATATTTAACATTTAGGTTTGCTGTATAACTAAAGTCCCTATAGAAATTGTAAAACAAAGACGTCAAGCATCACCTGTACAAGAATCTATAGCAAAAATAATTAAGAATGCTTATAGAGGTGAAGGAATTTGTGGCTTGTACCGTGGTTTTTGGTCCACAGTTTACAGAGACGTACCATTTTCAGTATTACAACTTCCAATTTGGGAATATTTAAAAAAAGAGTATAAATTGTTCACTGGTAAACCATTAACTCCATTAGAAGTCGCTTTTTGTGGTTCAATTGCAGGTTAATATTTATACAAAAATAAGAACTATGATATTTTTAATTTTGTCAGTCAGTTAAGGCTTATCAAAAAAACTATATAGTAAGAATATAGCAAGTGAAGCATTTTCTTTGTGTGTCTTTGCCATGTGAATACAAAAATGAAGTTTTGGTTTGCTTATTATTTCATAGTTTATAAATAAATGGATAAAAAATTTGCTCATACAGCTAAAAGAGTATTTTACATTTTCATATTAATATTAAAAAAATATTTATCATCTTCATCTAAATGTTAATTTATTTTTAATAACTTCTAATTTCATTGACAAATAAGGGCCAAAATGAATGGCATTGGTTATGAAACATCTTAAATTTATTAATAATAAAAATAGTTTGGGTATTTTGTTTACTAAATTTAATTATAAAATACTGTAGTAATTTAAGAAAACAAATAGTAAGCATAATTTTTTATGTAATGTTATGTAGGGTGTTCAGTAAGTAAGGAAATGGGTTTCTATTGTTCTCATTGTTTGTAACAATTAACCTGTTTCCTTACTTACTTAACACTCTGTAAGTTACTAAACACAACAAATAAAGCAGTTATTAATTTGTTCTTACCAGTAAGGATATCAAAAATAAAATTTATTTTTTTATTAAAATTAATATTTTTATTGCCAAATGTTTAATATTTAATGAAAATTATTATAAGAGAAATTAATCCCAGTGTTAAATACTAGTATATTTCAAATAAAAATAAAAAATAATTTTTAATAGTACTACAAATAAATAAAAATAAATGTGAAAAAAATGTTAATAAGTTAAAACTACATCTGGATTACCACTTAGATTTTACAAATTGTTTATTAGACCCAATAATCATTGTAATATTTCTTTGTTCAGCAGTGTTTCAGTACTTTGAAATGTTGGAGATAATTTTTTTCATGACACCTCAGTAAACTTGTCTAATAAACATGTACTTTAAAATAAATGAATTCATATTGTTTAAACACTATTATTTTGAAATTATGATATAGATTAAATCCTCTGTATTGCTATTTTTAAGTTTTAATTTATCTTATTAATTCAAATCTATATATTTTTAGGAGGTATATCTGCAGCCATGACTACGCCAATTGATGTTACTAAAACTCAAATAATGTTAGCTAATAGTACTATAGATCAAAAATTTACAACAGTAATAAAAAATATTTATAAAACCAGAGGATTAAACGGGTAAAAAATGTTTATTATACCTATTATTTATTTTTATGATTTTACTATAATATTCATTAATGAATTTGGCTAAAACCACTTCAGTAAAGTTTACATTGAATACCTTTTAAAATTTAATAAAATTAGTAATGAGACTTTTAAAAAATAAAACAATGGTGTCATTTTAGGGTGGCAGGATAGGTATTTGTTCCATCCTAGAAAAAACATACTACCAATTAATTAGTAATCTATAGAAAACAAAAATAAAGCTAAATCCTCTTGATCATATATGATACTTAAAATTTGATATTTTATTATTTTTCAACAAAATTAATTATCACTTAATATAAGCCAACAGTGATACATTTTATAATTTTAGGTATGAATGTCCATTTTTAAATTATTGTTGACACATAAATTTAAATTAAATATTAAGGACATTAATCCTTGAAAAAAAAAACAATAAACTTTTTATTAATTATGTATTAAGTTTATAAATTCAATAATGTATAATATATGATTAAAAACAGGAAAATTTTTGAAAATGATTCTACTGATCATGATTAAATACTATTAAGAGAAAAATATAATATGAACGTCCCAATTCAGAAGTGTAACAACGCATAAAATTAAATTATACAATATAAGATTAAAGAAAAAAAACTTTATATCACCCACATGTAAAATTAAATTTGTTAAAAATCATTCTTTTAGAAATTGCTTTAAATAATGAATAATGAACTATAATTTAGAGTTCTAAATCTAAATTTTTTGAGATATTATAGTTCTGAAGTGTGGTATCGATGTTTGATGTATTTATGTAGTTATAAGAAAAAATAAGGTTCAAATTTTTTTTCATTTTTCTAGGTTATTTGCTGGTTTTCTCCCAAGAGTTGCTTTTATTATGTTAGGTGGAGCAATCTTTTTTGGTACATATGAAAAAGCATGTACATTGGTTGAAAAGAATTATAAAAAATAGAGATTGTATTATAATATTCAATCAGAAAATGTTAAATATCTTTAAAAGTCTTTTATGTTATTGTTTAATATTTTTACAAAAATAAAACTTGTTATAAAAAATATTAATAACGTTATTTATTGTTTTAACATAAAAACTATTCAGATAATGATTCATAATCAACAGATACAAGAGATGGAGCTAAAATACTCTTAGTAACGGTGCTTGATGTGGATGATGATGAATTCTCTTTTTGAACTTTTGTAGTTGATTGAATAATTCTTAAGTTTAAATTTTTATTTGATTTTTTTGGAGTTACTTTAGATGATTTTCGGAGTCCTTTAATAAATTGTTTTTGCTTTGATGCAGTACCTGTTATACAAAATAAAGTAATTAAGCATTTTATATTGATAAATTTAATAATTTTTTTTAACAAAAATCAATTAATGATTTAACATACATACAAAGTAATTTGCTAACTATGTCTCGCTCAATATTTTTTGAGAAGAAATTATATTTTGAATTATTTAATTGAAGTTATAAATATCTTACGTTCTATAATTTTCAAAAAAAATTAGTTNAAGTTATAAATATCTTACGTTCTATAATTTTCAAAAAAAAATTAGTTCTATCTCCTTTTCTTTTACTGTAAATAGTATGAACTTTAATTTTTTAAATGGAAACATAAATGTGGAATAAACTAACAAATTTTTTTTCTTTAAAGTTTCCCTTAATTGNTTCTATCTCCTTTTCTTTTACTGTAAATAGTATGAACTTTAATTTTTTAAATGGAAACATAAATGTGGAATAAACTAACAAATAAGCAAATGACTTATCGTTAAGTACTTTTAAACCAGTATTTTACAAGATATTAGCTTTTTTACATCAGGGTGGGAGCGATAGTATGGTTCAGAAATACCTACAGTTTACCTTTAGTCTTTATATTAATATGTTAGTTTAGTTATAGTTATTATAAGAGAAGGTGTAGATACTGCCTAAGTGGTCAGACTTTATTATCCATTAGACATACCCAAAAGCCATACAAGAGAATTTTGAGTTTTTTTTAGTTTAATGAGGAATAATAACTCGTAGCTTTCACTGGTTGACTTCTTTTTCCTCTTTTTGTTAGTTTATGAATCATCAAAAAGTTTCCTATTACTACCATGTTTCATAGTTAAATACCTCATTCCTAGTTTTAAGGTTTTAAATTACCCAACATTTTTTTATGAAGCCTTATAGTTTTTATTTTTTTTCTTTAAAGTTTCCCTTAATTGGATGCCTGATTTTTACTTCTGTGGTATATTAATCCTGTTTCTACAAAAATCACCACAGCAGTACTTGGTACTATGGTAAAGCTAAATACTTTGACATTGGACACATCATAAAGTTTCCCAAATGTCAACTTTACTTTTCAGAATACTACTTTGTTGACAAGTTTCTCTCACTTGGTATAAAGAGTTGAGGGCCTATTTACTGTTAACAAGCAGGTGTACCTATGCTCACTAATCACAAAAATTGGAATTAACTGGCTCTAGGATCAATGATACATGTTTCATTAAAACATCCATTGAATGACTAGGATCCTGCAGAACCTTTATAGTTCATAATTGTGTTAATAACTTTCAAATTATTAGTTCAAAAAATGTTTAACAATCAGTAATTTTCTTAGACCATTTTAATAATAGTAAGCTGGTACTAAATGTTTCCATTAAAAAAACTAATATTGAAACTATTTTATGGGAGGAAAAGGGGAGATAAAACTTAGAATACTAATAACTTCTGAAAACGAAAATTTTGCTAAGTTTAGACTTAAAAAGATGTTGCATTAGTCATAGTTAAGCAATTATTATTAAGCAATGTTTTTTTCAGTAATGCGTATCTTGAGAGTTCAAAATTTTGAATTCGTATTAAAAAAATGTACACTAAAATTTTTTTTTTTACATGTATAAAAAATAAATTACTTTCAGATGTTTGAAAACTTAATAATTTAGCAATCTTTGCATCTTCATCACTTTCATCTACCAATGGAATACTTAGGGATAATCTTTCTTTTAGATTATTATCAAGTTTTTCTTTAGCTGCAATCTTTTGCTTCTTTGTCTAAACAAAATTTATTTTTACAATTTAAAAGCAAAAATATTTATTTTTTGTTTTACTCTAAATTGTTGGCGAAGCAAAGAATTAGCAGCAAAGTCATCATTCCATTTAGAATCTTGTTTGTCATGAAGTTTTACAAGAACTGGTGCCGCCTTCTTTGCTTTATCTAAATCTTCAGTTCCGTGTTCTAATTTAAACATAGCATCATCAAACAAACGTTTACTAGTATCCTTATCTTCTGGAACAATTTGTTCATTTTCAGTAGGATCCCATCGATTTTCTTGACGACGTGCTCCACTAACTATAACATAGTCTAAATTCTATTCAAATTTACATAGAAATTAATACAAGTTTTAATTCAGAAAAAAATTAATAGTAAGTAATACCAAACATACTGTAATGTAAATTAGAGAAAAAAATTAAATTCATAATTTTAATTACTCACAAAAATTTAACCATTAAATATTAACAATAAAATTTAATAGTATGTTTTGTAAACTAAGGACCAAATTAAAATTAATTTTGACATACTCCAGGATCAGTTTTTATTTCAAAGTGATTATCACAAAGATGACACTTCATTCTAAATTGATATACAGGTGTTGAGTAATACATTCCAATTTTTTTTTTTTCTGCATTATATCTAAAAATAAAGTAAAATTAATTTAATTACAAATTGAATAATTATAAATTTATTTTAATTTCAAATACTCAGTTTGAAAACGGTATTTCAAACAAAACTAGAAATAGTTAATGCGTGTTTAGACATAGAAAAAATATTAGGTTACTTTTTTCTAAATGAAAATAATTTAAAAATAATGTATCAAAACAATGAAATTAAGATTATAGTGATGGGCATTTTCGAATATTTTAAACTATCGAATAACTATTCGAATAGTTTTTATACAACCGAATATTTTATTTTTAGCATAAACTATTCAAATAGGCTACCGAATATTTTTAAAAAATATTCGATTAGTTATACCTAAAATTTTTTATGAAGTATACTTAATTATAATAAGGAGATAATTAACAAATACTTATAAATAAATTATTATACAATTAATAATAGTAAAAATTAGTGATTGTCATTTTCAAATATTTTAAACTATCGTATAACTATTCAAATTGTATTTATACAACCGAATAGTTTATTTTTAGCATAAACTATCGAATAGTTTTAAAAACTATTCGAATATATTGTGTAACTATCGAATATTTTTTGAATGACTATCGAATAGTTCGAATAGTGGACAACTATCGAAGAGTTCGATAGTTTCTATTCGATATTTCCCATCACTAATATTTTATTTCAATCTAAGATACAAATTCATTTTTGGTTTTGAGATTTTTTTACTTAAAAAGTTATATTTACCATTAAACTTTTAAACTACACGGACCAATTTTTGAATTACCTTTTATGAAATCCAAGAGAAATTGTTTTATTAAATTAACTTATTGAAATTTAATATATATTTTATATTAATTTTGTAATTATTTAATAAAATATCTAAAATTGTTTAGTATAAAATTAGTATTTGTAAAAAAATTATAAAACTTGTAGTTAATTATTTTACTAACCTCACTCCCATTCCGATATGATTATTACATCCCTCACACCAAATATTGTATGGCATCTCAAAACGTATTATCAAAATGCCCATATGGAGTTTTCGAGCTCGTTCTCTTAAAGCATGAGTTCCTCTAAATTTATTCAATCCACCAACTGCAGGATTATAGTCTGGAGGATAGTATTTGTTTGTTCCTTTACGTTCACCCATGTTAACCAATTGGATTTACAACAATTCAAATTCTGTAAAAATTTAAAAATTATTAAAAAGTTTTTAATATTTTTATAAAATGTTTTTTGTGTTATAAAAAAACTAACATTTTTCAACTTGATGATCCTTCTACTAAGAAAAATTTAGTCAACTAAATCAATGTAAATTTATTAATTATATTAAATTAGTAAATTTCAAATAACTATTTCAATTAAAATTATTAATAAAATCTAATATTTAGCCGACCCCAAGTAGTTGGGATTAAGGTGAGGAAGAAGAAGAAGAATAAAATTGAATAGTAAATTTTTGTAAGATCATTATTTGAAATAGGCTATTTAAGTTCATATTTTATGAATTACTTTAAATATTATTATTAGATGGTAAAATCTTAATATATTTTGTAATAATCTATTCTATAAATCTTACTCTAATGTAATAATCGTGACTGTGTTGTAAATTAAAATTGTGTAATTTTTAAAGAAAATCTGACATTTCTCATTTAAAACTTGAATATGAACGACGAGTGATTAATATAATATTTAAAAAACACATAATTTTCTTGTCTAGTGATAAGCTGTTATCATTTTGACACATTAAGTCTTTAAGATTAGAAATTAAAAGGCAACCAGCTATTACATTAATATGATTAAATGTAGAATGAACTAAACAAATATATTGACTGATTAATAACCAAATCTAAATGAGATAGGTAATGAAGGGCGGTTCCCAGGACTGAATTAAATAAAGTATTACCCCCTTTTTTTATTTATTATTTGATAATAATTCAAATATAAATGAACGAAAGTTTGTTGGTAGAAGTCTCATTGAAATCTATGTATATTAACAAGGCAAAGAACGGATTTAATGAAAGACAAATCCAAATAGTTTAAGTTTAAATTTCTTTGAATGTAATTCAGTTTTCCATCAAGTCTAAAGTCTAAGGTTTTAAACCTTAATCGTATACTCCATGCTATACAAATTATATAATAAGAATTAATCACTTGTGGCTAATTAATTAAATAAAATTAAAACTATATTAAAAATACTATTAATTTAAAAATTAAAAATATTAAACTCAAAAGCCACAAAAAAATATTAAAAAGTCTTGGATACGCATATCGGAAACAATATTACCAATTATTTCTCGACTTCCCACTGTAAAGCTTAAAAAAAATTATTAAAAATTATACATACTATTCTCGTGTTTGATCTTTTCGGCAGATAGCACTAGCACAAATAAAAATGTAACGGAACAACATAAAATTTATATTTACATTCAAAATAAATAAATAATAATGGTTTTGCGATTACATAATAGTAATCTTATTACGAGATAGAAATTAAAGTTAAAAATAATAGAAAAAAAAATTATGACTATAGTTAACGAGTTCTTGCGAACGTTTGTTGCCAGTAAAATACTATTAAATCTCTATTGTTATAATTCGATGGTGTTCAAACAAAAGGGGATAAGTGAAAAATAAAAAAATAGTAGTTTTGGTAGATTAAATATAGGTTTTATTTAGACAACTGTGCTTTACTATATAATCTTATAATAAAGTTGTAAAAATTTAAGACACTTCAAGAGTAACTCAAACAAAATTTAGAAATGCATATAATTCCTAGTCATATTTATGATAATTATTTGGAAAATTATAGCTTGTATAAACTAAAATGACTAAATAACCCATTGTTAGCAGTAAAATTTAAAATTAACAGTCAAAACTATTTAGAGCGAGGTGCTAAATCAAAAAAATTTACCATATCAATAATCTGAAGTGGGGTTTGTGTTTATAACTTGAACACTTTTGAAAATGATCAGTTATTTTTGAAAATTGACGCGATTTTTAGTTAAATATTGAGTTGAAACCTTTTTCTGCTCATTAACTTTCTTTAAAAAAATTTCATGAAATTATTGGTAAACATTTTGTTTTGATAAACTAAATTCACATTAACGTAACTAGCGAAAGGTTTAGTTCCCTTAAATCTAAAATAACCTCCCTTAAGTTGGTTTTACACTATACGTTTTTGAACAAGCAATTTTGAAATGCGTGTTTTAGACGACGGTTACACATTGTACGGTTATAACACTGCGTTTGCGACGCATTGGGAAAAGTGTTAAAATTTTATAAGCCCGTTTCCAACTTATTATACATTTGACTCGTAGTCAGTAATCCTATTTATTATTTTTTGAGTGTATGATTTTAAAAAAATGGACTTAATTTTGGACGATGTAGAGGCGGTTTGTGTGGTGTACACTTTATATAAAAACTACTGAGATCAAAAAATATCATAAGAGAAAAGAAATAAGCGTTGTTGGTGGGTATCAATGAAATTTAAAAAAGCCAAAATTTATTAGTTGTTTTTTTTTTTTAATTGGATCCGTTTAAAAAAAAAAAGTGCTTTAATTTAAGGTATATATAAATGTGTCAATCTTTCCGGAACATTTTCAAAACTTTTACTTTCTATATGCATTTTTAAAGGTTTGAACCCCCTTGTATAAAGGGAATATAGCCCGATTAAAAAAATAAAGTATGTCGAATGAAAGAGGTATATATAAAGTATTCATCATAAAATAATAGAATTGATTCATGCATTTTTTAAAAAGTTATAGCAACATAAAGTTAAAAAATGTAAAATATAATATTAAGACTTTTTTTTACAAAAATTGCATAATTTTGAAGACGGCAGTCATTTTCACTATGAAGACAAGCCAGAGGTCAAATTTTTTTTTTCAAATTAAAGTATATTACATAAGCTTTAAAGTTGCCATATTGAAACCCTCTCTATGGGTAGGTAAAGGGTCAAATGTTCACAAAAATATATCAAATGATAGTGAAATACCTAAGTTATCTAAAAAAACAAAATTATATTGATTTGTTCATTTTTAAAAAAATTATGGCAGTTTTAAGAAAAAGTATTGAAAAAATGTCGAAAATTACCGATTTTTAAAATTGAAATTTTTTGGGGGGTAAACTTTACCATATCTTGGTGTCTTCAGTTAATAATTTAAAAATTCACTAGCAATTTCATTCTGTATTGGTACATATGATTTACAATAAAATAATAGGGTACTGATTAAGTTAATTTGTGTACATACTAGAGGCTTGGTCCTACTCTAAAATAAATTGACAAAGTGATCCTAAAAAATTTAAGAAAAATACATTGAGGAAAAAAGAATCATTTGTAATGAATTGTATATACAGCCCTCTAATTGTAATTATTGTTACCAAGCCAATTTAAAGCACATTAGTAATTTTTATACATAAATAATATTTATAGCTTAAGAAATTACTTTATTTAGCTGTAAATGATATCACGACTTTAAGAGCGTTTTTTAAATTTTATTATGCTTTACATTTTTTACACGAAGTTAAGCAGTGTTCTTGTTAAAAAAAACAGTAATTATTTATAAATTGTGTTGTTTGACCTCAACGATAGGTAATATGTAATGGTTTATTGATATATCTATTGGTATCTAAATACCTAAGGCATCACCACAGCGACTATAGCCAAAATACTGACACGATGAATATTAAATCTATCTAACGTGGTCTCTGTACTTGTTTGCTTCATTTATTTTTTTTTAATATAAGTTCTTATTCTAGTATTGTGCTTTGATATTTATGTACTATCATTAAATAGATATTTTAAACGATGAATATAATGACCAGGTAATACGTTATTAATGAAACATTAATTTTAAAAGTAGAATTATAATTTGACCTAAGTTGCTAATACCACCGCTCCAATTGCAATGATGTATTACAGTCGAAATGTTTAAAAACATCAACAAATAAATGGATAGTATAAAATTTTAAATAAAAATGTGTTACATCTGCTAAAATATGATACTTTCTACAATTATAAATTGTATTATATTGTTGTCTGCGATAGTAATAATTATGGTTGTGGATGTACTAGTCATATCATAAGCCTTATCATGTTTGTGACTTCATTTTCTATATAACGTCATGAACAACAAACGAATATTGACTCATTTTACCAATTTGTAAAATTGAGTAGGGATATCTTTTTAAGTAAAAAATGCGTTCTACTGTAACATCTTGAAATATTAATCTAGTTCTAGCATCAAATTATTATTTTGAATGTTTTGTTAAAGTCAGAAGAAAAAAATGTAGAATGTCTTATAATAATAATTTTCCTATTTATATTTAAAAGTGGTTAAATTGTATAAGACTATATCTATTTAACGTTAGTTTGTTTTAGTACTGTTGTACAGTTTTGGTAAGTAATCAAAAAATTATTTTGATATTTATGTAAGAATAAATCGTTTTATTATTATTTGAGAAATATTTTAATGTTTAATATAAAACTATTTATGTTCATTGTGATTTATCTTAAACTATCATAAGAATTAAATCATAAAATTGAAAAAAATAAAAATAAAATGCATTTTGAAATAATAAAACAAAAAACTTTTTGATAATTTAATTAGGATTAATATATTAAGGATTAACATCAATTATACAATTTTTGTTTTAGTAAAATGTGGTTAAAAATTAAAGTGCTACTATGGAAAAGTTGGTGTTTACGGAAGAGATACTGGATTGGTTCTATTTTAGAAATTACTATTCCAATGCTATTATTCTTTTTTCTTATTATTGTAAAATCTAATATATCAGGAACTTTTGATAGTGAAACTATTATTCAGAATCAGTCAATACCAAATCCGGTAACAGAAGAGAATTTATTTACAGAATTTAAAAAACGATATTCTGAATCTGACTTCTTGTATACACCTAATACTACTCAAGCTAAAATTATAATAGATAATGTAGTATCTATGTTAGAAATAGAACCTGATAAAGTCAGACCTGTAAGTAATGAAAGTGAAATAGTAAATTTTTTAAAAAACTTTTTTAAAAGCCATTACAGTGATTATAAGGAAGGATTTGGAATTGTTTTTGAAAAAATAAATTCAACATCGTTCAGCTACAAAATAAGGCTGCCTAAAGAATCATTTAATACTGATTTATTATTTCCAAATTTTCAAGTACCAGGACCAATGGATAGTGGAGAACCTTACTTAAAAACTGGTTTTCTTGCTTTACAATTAGCATTGGATAAGTCTTTTATTCATTTTAGCAACAAATCTGCTAATTCAATTGATTCTCATAATTTTTCAATTCAATCTTATCCATATGCTCAATTTGCAGCAGATTCAGATTTTGAAAATATGTTTCAGATAATGCTTCCATTGTTTACAGTAATTAGTTTTTTATTAATGTGTTCTAACACAATTAAAAGAGTTGTAGAAGAAAAAGAATCAGGTGTCAAAGAACTAATGAAAATGATGGGCCTGAAACCATGGATGATTTGGACTGGATGGATGTTACATAATTTATTTGCTTATTCTATATCAATTACAACAATTGTATGGTTGGTTTGTGTAAAACAAGATCCTAGTGGAGGAAAAATATTAAATCATACAGATCCTGTTTTATTTTGGATATTTTTGTTTTTATATACTATTACTGGAATTTTTTTTTGTTTTGCAATAAGTGGTTTTTTTTCTAAACCTATATTTGCTACAAATGCTGGACTATTTTTATGGATGATTTCATTTAGTATTCCACACAATATAATAAAACCAAATACTAATTATAAAATCAAATTAATTTTCATGTTATTACCAAATGTAGCATTATCTAATGGTTATACTTCAATAGCTTCACTTGAAACACAAGGTAATGGCCTTCAATTTTCAACTCTTTTTACAAGTGGAAGTAATACTTATTTTTCGGTTGGTTTCATCTTCTTTATATTTATTCTTGACTGTATATTGTATGGATTTTTGGCTTGGTATTTGGATTCTGTAAAACCAGGAAAATATGGTATTGCCAAACCTATAAACTTTTTATGTAATTGGTTTAAAGAAAAATCTGAAACCAATATAATGGAACCAATAAATAACAGTACAAGTAAGTTATTTGAAAAGGCTCCTAGTGACTATGAAATTGGTATTAGTATACAAAACCTATATAAAAGTTTTGGAAGTTGTCAAGCCGTAAATGGAGTTAACTTAGATATATATAAGGGTCAAATTACTGCTCTTTTAGGTCATAATGGTGCTGGAAAGACCACAACTATGTCAATTATTACAGGTATTTTAATGTTGTGATTTTATATTTATATATTTGTTCAATAATTTAATTATTATTTTATGTGTTCAGGAATGTTTTCTCCTACTCATGGCTGTGTGAAGATAAAAGATGGTGACATATATAACAATCTAGACAAGTTTAGAGAAAATCTTGGTTTATGTCCGCAGCATAATTTATTATTCAATTATCTCTCAACCTTGGATCACTTAATATTCTTTGGAATGGTATATTTAAAAAAAAATATATTTTGAAGTAATTTTTTCATTGTAATCTTAATTTTAGCTCAAAGGATTATCATTTAGTGTTGCAAAAACAGAAGGAATAAATTTGCTTACACTTTTGAATATACTTCCAAAAAAAGATGAACTTGTTAGTAATCTTTCAGGAGGAATGAAAAGAAAACTTTCACTTTCCATTGCATTGATTGGAGATCCAGAGGTAGTATAATTTCTAATGGTAATTGTTATTATGTTGTTTATATTTAGTGTTTTTTCTTTAAAATCATTTCTTGTGGTAAAGAAAATGGTTAAACCCATAAAGCCGTGCATAATGTAATGAGCTTTGGTACCATGTTTTCCCAAATGGATTTACCCAAATGTATTGGTCATCTAATCATATAAAAATTTAGTTTGACTTTAACAGTGATGGTTGTAGATAATGAGAAGTGAGAATAAATTTTTGAAAAGTGTATAAAAAATTGATATTTTGGAAAAAACTTTTACAATTATCAAAATGAAAACATCATGGTGTATTTTTAGTTTAAATAAATTTAATATACTTTTGTTTAGAATAGTAAAATAGATTTGTAATTGGGGAAATGATTCTCTCTATAATACTAAGTAATTTGATTAGTTATTTTTGTATAACAATTATCGTATCGTAATTATTTAAGATAAAATATTAAAAATTTATTTTCAGGTACTTATATTAGATGAACCAACATCAGGAATGGATCCAGAATCACGAAGAGAAATGTGGGACCTATTATTGGTAAAAAAAATTGATTTATATCTAAGATAAAACAGTGTTAGATTTTTTTTTTGGATAATCAAATATATTATATTATATGATATTGCCAATAATTCTATTATAGTTAAAAAATAATAATTAAACAATAGACCTTAGTTATAATTACCAATGTTCTTTCTTTAATGTTAGCTGTGTTAACTTAAGTTGTTTAATAGAAACTTAAATATGCTAAAAACATGTATCTAATCAATAGTGCTATAACACATCATTTAAAATTCTAACCATTCTTGTATGTGTTATGTGATGTAAAATTTTTTATAGATAAATTTTTGTTTCAATTTTAGACAATTTTTAGTATGATAAGCAAATAATAAAAACATGGATAGGTTCTGGACTTATTTAAAAAGTTTAGTTTAATATCTATAATAGTTTTTTTATTTAATTATTTATAAATTATTTTTAGTCTATAAGAGGAAAGCGAACTATATTGATTACAACACATTTTATGGAAGAAGCTGATGTTTTAGGCGATAGAATTGCAATCATGGATCATGGAAAAGTAATATGTTATGGAACGTCATTATTTTTAAAGAAAGCTTACGGTAATTCCTAATGATATAAACATTTTTGTTTTTTATATTTATGTTATGGTATATGTGGGATTTTGGGAAATTAAATTTATTGATTATTGTACAGTTTAAATTATTGTACACATTGTTTGATCTCATTATATTTCACAAATATAATTTTGTTCATTATTATTCTTATTAATAAAATATAAATTCCTATTTTACTTAAGTTAAAGTATATTTACACAGTAAACTGCAAAAGCTAAATATGTATATTGTTATTGAAAAACTTAAGTTGATAAATTTTTATATGAAAAGAGTACGAGATAGAATTAAATATTTTTTTTAAAGTTTATAGAACAAAGAAAAATGTAATATTCATGGAAAAAAAATTTTATTTTACATATTTTTAGAGATATTGTAGTGTGAGGCATGTTTCAGGAATCTCACAATAGATCTTGTCTCTCTAACAGCAATTAATCTATAAATGTTTGTTTATTTATTCACTTATAAATTTTTAGGAACTGGATATAATTTAACTATTATTAAAAAAGAATCTTTTGATGTTATTGAAATGGCCAAAGTGATCAAAGATTTTGTACCTGAAGCAAATCTTCAAAGTTCATTAAGTGCCCAAGTAGTTTTCAATTTACCAAATGAAAGTTCAAACCAGTTTCCAGAATTATTTAGAATGCTAGAATTAAAAAAAGAAGAATTTGGTATTTCTGGGATTGGTATATCTTGTACTACAATGGAAGAAGTTTTCTTAAGGTAATTAATTAATAATTAAAAGTATGATTTTCTACTCTTAAGCCTTTCATAGTACAGTTTATACTTGAATATTTGATCATAGTTTGTGTATATTGTTTATATTCTTATATTTTTAGATAGTTATTAAATTATAACTTTTGCTTATGTAAAATGTTATTTGTATATAATTTGTTTTTATTAGATCAGGAGGAAATGCACAAGAAAATGAAAATAATTCACCAGTTCATACTCCTACTGGTTATAATGATTATCAACTAATTATCAATAAGCACGATAATTGTAATGTTGATCACATTACAGCTTTTTTGGAACAATATATCCCTGAATATTCACTAATGGATGATTTAAGCAATCAAGTTGTTTTCAATTTACCAAGTAGTAATCGATCTCAGTTTAGTTCTTTGTTTTCTGCATTAGACTTCCAGAAAAAAAATCTCAAAATAGAAAGTATAAAGATTTCTCATTCAATTTTTGGTGTCATTTATCCTAAGTAAGTAAAACACCATTACAAGAACAATTTTATATTTTATTACCTATAGGTAATTATAGATATTGTTTTTGAAGCAATTGGGAATTAATTCATATTTATTGAAATTTGTTCTTTAAAATTTAAGATATAGTTATTTATTTATGACAACATTTTATAACTGTGGTTTTAAAACTTCTTTTAGTATCTTTAATAGAAAACAATAGTTTTAATAATTTTATTTATACTGTATAATTCATTTATCATAAACTACTAAAAAAATTGTAAAATAAATAAAATATTGAAAGTTACAAATATTTATTGATTTTTGAGCTAATTACGTTTTAGTATCATCCCATCTTAAGGAGTTTCAATTAAATTGAATGATGCTATAAAGTAATTAATCTATGATAAATCATAAAATATGTAACTAAAAAATAAGTTTTTTTTTAATATTGTATTTGTTTAGCAAGTAATTTAGTGGTTTATAATAAATTTATCATTCTGTGTACACACAATTATAAGATAATAATAATCAACAACAATAATAACAGCAATAACTAACATATAAAATTGGTTTGACTGGTCAATAACAACTTTTGAACCAGTATTTCAGAAATTATTAACAATTCAAAGTAATAACTAGAGGTAAAGAAAAGTGGGTATTGTTATTTGTATAACTAGACATTTTTGGTTGTATTCTTCCTCTCATCTACATATAAATATGTCAATAATTTTTGAAATTATGATCTAAAAGTTATTATCCAACTGTAATTTTCTTAATTTAATCTCTATTAAATATGCTAATTAATTATGTGTGATGTCATTTGAAAAATTAAAATTAACACCTATATAAGGTATAAGGGATGAAAATAACAAAACTATATGATTGAAAAATTAAGAGAAACAGTGAACTTTAAAGAAACAAGTAAACAAATTATTAATATTCTTTTGTTTTTAAGTTTTTGATATTAAAACCTGATTTTCAGTTTTTGATTTGTAGCGACAATATTCATGATTTTTAAAGTTACTCATATTTTTTTATATTAATTTCTTACTAGTAACATTATAATAAAAAAAAAAAATCTATAAAACTTTAATGGAAAGATATTAAAATGATTGATAATTACCTTTATAAATGGTAATAATAATTACAAATGATATATTTTAGATGATTATAATTTAAAATCAACAAATTATCATTCCTCATCAAGGGAAAAAATATTTTTTTAAGAGATTTTTTTATCTAATTTAATGTATTTTTGAATATATAGTAGTAATAATATCTTTTTTTTTTCCAATTAAATTTTTTAAAGGGATTTTAATCATTCAGTAAAGTTATCTATCACTACAAATTATATCAAGAATCAATGGTGAGGAATATTATATTATTAACTATTGTTAGTTGTGTTTGTTTTTAATAGCATTATTCACTGTAATAAATTGTTCATAATTTGTATGTCATATCTAATAAAGCACATTTTGAATACGATCAGAGTTATAGAAATAATCATTGATAATTTGGGACTAAATAGTGCCCATTAATCTAAAATCTCTTAATCTATTACAGTAGTCCCCAAAAAGATTTTATAAAGGGTCTAATATGTATGTTGAACATTTATGGTGGGTCATATACTGTTAAGTAGGGCTACCAGATGTTCCGAGTGAAAAATACGGACATATCAAAACCTACCCCCCTATTGATAATTGGAAAATAAAATTTTTTTTTTTTAATTTTAAAAAAGTAGAAGAAATAATCAAATTAAAAAAAAATATTTTAATTTGTTTGCGTGATAGGTGATGCACATTTATGAAAATTAATGATAATCGATAGAAATTAATTGTTATTAATAGGAATCGATGATNTTTTTAATTTTCAAAAAGTAGAAGAAATAATCAAATTAAAAAAAAATATTTTAATTTGTTTGCGTGATAGGTGATGCGCATTTGTGAAAATTAATGAGATACGATAGAAATTAATTGTTATCAATAGGAATCGATGAACGATAATCTAGATTGACATTTTACTTGATTTTACGACTTACGTATAACTTATTTTATTTTCAATAAATTATAAGTCACATACATATTCATTCTGCAATTGGTTTTATTGTCTGAATAATTATATTATAATGAACATCTCAAGTATTCGCAATACAACTGCATGCTTACACAGTAGTTATATTAAAAGCTAGTTATTCCAGTGCCGCATGATGGCATGGTTGGTCACTACTCAAACTTATAGTCTGCCTGATTCTGCCCATTTTTACATATATTTTCTTTCTCTTTCTCACCTCTCAGAGCAAAATAAGAGAGAATGTGACAGAATTCTCCAATTACTCGCCACTTCACGTAATTTTTTCATAGACTTAACTTTTTGAAAATTTTTGATCATTTCATGAAAAATACGGACGATACGGACGTCTGGTAGCCCTACTGTTAAGAGATGATTCCTTAAAATTACTCTTTTGGTATATTTAACTTAAGTGCTGCCCTCATAAGTATATAAGTAGGTACCACTACTATAGTATATTATGTGCACTTTTCACTGTAATAGCTGGCTTAAGATATTTTGCCACTCTGAATAATGTTAAAGATATTACTCAGATATTTTAATTTTTAGATAATCTTTTTTTTTTTTTTTTATTATCTTATATTTTGAATAAAACTACCAAAAAATGTTAAATGCTACTTTCAGCGGTCATATGAGCCTTAAGTCAGTTCTGTTTATTATAGCTTTTTTCACCGAAGTTTAATATACTAATTTTTTAATTTAAGAGGTTCAATTAGTTTACTTCTTANCTCTTTCTCGCCTCTCAGAGCAAAATAAGAGAGAATGTGACAGAATTCTCCAATTACTCGCCACTTCACGTAATTTTTTCATGGACTTAACTTTTTGAAAATTTTTGATAATTTCATGAAAAATACGGACGATACGGACGACCCTCAAAAATACGGACGTCTGGTAGCCCTACTGTTAAGAGATGATTCCTTAAAATTACTCTTTTGGTATATTTAACTTAAGTGCCGCCCTCATAAGTATATAAGTAGGTACCACTACTATAGTATATTATGTGCACTTTTCACTGTTATAGCTGGCTTAAGATATTTTGCCACTCTGAATAATGTTAAAGATATTACTCAGATATTTTAATTTTTAGATAATCTTTTTTTTTTTTTTTTTTATTATCTTATATTTTGAATGAAACTACCAAAAAATTTTAAATGCTGCTTTCAGCGGTCATATGAGCCTTAAGTCAGTTCTGTTTATTATAGCTTTTTTCACCTAAGTTTAATATACTATTGTTTAATTTAAGAGGTTCAATTAGTTTACTTCTTATATATGCTTATAGAATATTGATTTGTTGGCTAAATTCAGTGTTTCTTTTAATTTTAAGTCTTTAATTTTTTTTTTTCATTAAATTATTTACCAAAGAATGAATTTTGTTGCTGTCATGCAAGAAGTAGAAAAGTGATTTTATTTTTTGAAATACTTAAAAAAAAATTGAAAAACTTTTATTAAATAAATCATAAAACATTGTTCTATATAATAATTAAATCACATATATTTAGTAAATTTATGAGTTAAATTATTCTTTTAAAATATAAAAAAATAAAATTTTCATTTGGTCACTTATTGTAGAACAGCAATGATTTATTTGAAAGAAATATGGAAAATAAGTATTGTTTTAATTTTAATTTATTTGTCTTAGCTATAGCTAAAACCTAATTATATACATTTATTACTAATTTATTTTATGATATTAATTCATTAAACTTACCTTAAAACATTTGTTTATATAGTTCCAATGGAGTTGGAGATGATATAGATGAACAAAAAGAAGGATTTAATGGAGATGTTACTCAAAGTAATCAAGGTTTTTAAAGTTTTTCATTCTTTTGTACTTTAAGTAATACTACATTATTTTATTTTGGCTATTTTCAGTTTATATAGGGTGTTGAATAATTAAGGAAACAGACTTCTATTGTTCTCATTATATGACAATTAACCTGTTTTTTGCTTACTGAATATTCTATATACAAAGTACATAAGTGGGGGGGCGTTAGGTATCTAGGCTCCTTTAAAAATTTGAGGTTTACTAGAAGACATTTTCCTTAAAAAAAAAAAAAATTCCCTTGTTCTTCGTAAATTGGCCATATACCTCAAAAAATTATAACTGTTAAAAATGATAAATTAAAAAATTGTTTAGCTTTCTCAACTTGTTTTTGTTAAAATGTTTTTAAAAATGTATTATATATATTAGTCAATGTCAATTTTTCAATCTATACTATTTTCTTCTATGTTTGATACTGATCGAATTAGTTTTTTTTAGAATATCTACTTAGAGTTAAAATTTTTTTGAATATTGATCAAAACTTTAAAGTAGAATATTAAAGGCTTTTTATTTATTAATTTTTTTAATAATAGAATAATTCTTTTGTCATCAAATAAGATGGCTAACTAAAAAAAAATATTTAAATGCTTCAATGCTAGCAGACCCTTTTTTATCAAGTATTACTTTTTTTTTTGTTTTAGCTCTTATGCCAAAATATGTAAGTGGTATAACTTTGTTGAAAAATCAAATTGTAGTGCTGTTGTCCAAAAAAATTCTTTATTCCTTAAGAAGATGGTTTCTTACTTTAATATTTGTAAGTTTTACTTAAAATTATCTTTTAAATTATTATTTGAACATTTTTAAAAATAATAAAAAATGAGTAAATTTAACATTTTTTTAAAAATTTATAATGTTGTAATTTGTGTTTGTTATAGGGTATTCTTCCATTACTTATAGCTTATCTAACCTTAAATTCAAGTTATGACTTATTTAAAGCTTCAAGTCCCCCTAAAAAACTGCATTTGGCATTAGATGCTTATGAAGATAGTGATGTTTATTATCATGTTGGAGAAAATTCAACTAATAAGTTGGAATCTCGTTTTGCATCTATTTCAACAATGTATCATGCCACTGTTACTGAGCTTTCTTCTGATCAAAATTTAGTAAATTGTAATTACAAATATATATATATATATATATTTTGACCATAACAAGATATAATTTTGTTCCAATTCTGTTTAAAAATGTTGTGATATTAAAATTAAATTCTAAAAAAATTATTTTAAAATATTAATACATTTAAATCAAAATTGAGTTCTTTAAATAATTTAATATTTTATTTTATTTTAAAGACTTGCTAGAACTATGTTCAATGGATGTCTTTAAATATAGATCAAAAGTTATGATTGCTGGAGATTTTAATGAAACACAAACAACTGTTATTTATAATAATATAGCCTATCACACTCCAGGTATTGCTGTAAATATGTTTACTAATGCATTGCTGCAAAAACTATCTGGAAATAATGAATCATCTATATCAGTTATAAATGAACCCATTCAAAACGAAGATAAGGTATGGTTAGCTTTAAATTTTTCATCCTTACAATTTCAATATGATCGATTTTAATTTTAGAGTATTTGCGGAAGTAACTTTGTTTTGCAATTAACAATAATATGGCTTACTATGTTTTCTTCTGGAGTTTTATATTTCATATGTTATTTTATTGCATTACCTTTGAATGAAAGAGTTAGTGGTATTAAACATTTACAAATTATGTCAAAACTATCTCCTATTACATACTGGATTTCATGTTTCATATGGGATTATATTTGTTATTTTATTGTTATAATTACTACTATGGTAGTTATATACCTCTTTGATGAATATCATATTTTTAGTGGAAAAAATGAGCTTGGTAAGTGCAACATTCAAGTAAATTATTTGGATTTTATATAATGAACTGTATCATTTTAGGTGCTCTTTTCATAATATTTATTGCATATGGTTGGAGTTCAATATTTTATGCATACTCTTTCAGTTTTTTTAAAAAAACCTTGATTTCTTCTATATCCTTATTCATAGCCATAAATTTAATATTGGGTAAGAATAAAATAAAAATGTTTATTGTATTTATTATTTTTTATTCTATATTACACAATTGTTTTATACATTTTTCTAATAGGGATGATAGTTAATTCTATGCTGTTGGTTGCAAAATTAACTGGGTTGTCTGAAACTCATGATAGCTCATTTTCATTTTGGTATAATATTATCCGGTATGTGATTTTGTTAGTGCCACATTTTTCATATACTGCTTGCATTGTTGGTTTTGTTTCTATTTCATGGTCAAATAATATGTGTAAACTCTGTAAGACACCTGATGCCCATGAAGCATGCAGTGGTAATTAAATATAATTAATCTAATAATTGTTAAAATAAATATATCTATTTTTATCTCAGGTTCTGATTCAAAGATGAAACAATATTTTGAATTTGCTTCTAAACATAACTCGTATGCTATTTTAGAAGAGCTTTTATTTTTAATTTTTAGTAGTTTAATCTACATTGCATTCATACTTTTAATGGACTATAAAGTATTTTCTACTTGTTACCAATTTATTTTCAATAAAATTGTTGGTTCTGGAGAAAGCTACAAAGATGATAATGAAGATCCTGATGTTGGTGGTGAAAGAGATAAAGTTGATGCTGCTAAAGCTCGTGTTTGTGAGTATAGTTTAACAATAAAAATTGTTCATTGTTTTTAGTTTTATGTTAGTTATTTTGTGTATAAATCAATTTTTCTTATTTTTAACAGATAATGCAACATCACCAATATTAGTTGTTGATAATTTAGTTAAAAAGTTTAACTTAAAATTTACGGGTGTCCGAGGTATTAGTTTTACTGTTGCACCAGGTGAATGTTTTGGTTTACTTGGTGTCAATGGTGCTGGTAAAACAACAACATTTAGGATTTTAACTGGTGATATTTTCCCTTCTAAAGGAGATGCATATATTCAAACAGATGAAATTTTCAAACTGAGTTCTTCATTTGGAAAGGTAATTATTAAAAAAAAAAAAAAATTATTTTTTGCTAGACATTAATTTTTTACTTTTTTTCATTAAAATTGTTCTTTTAGTGTAGGCCTACTATTTCATAACTTTTTTTTTATAAAAGTCACTTATAACTTATTTAAGTATACATGTTACTTTTTTATAATGTAATAATACATGAATAAAATTATATAGTAATAAAATAAGGTTATTTGGTATTTAACAGTTTTTTGTGTATTGTTTGTATAGTATATATCAATGATTGGTTATTGTCCACAATTTGATGCTATTAATGATCAACTTACTGCGGAAGAAACTTTAAGGTTAATGGCCATTTTAAGAGGAATTTCAACAAATAATGCTAGTAAACATGTAAATAAATGGATTAAACTTCTAGGTAGTTGAGTCTAATGTGAACAAATTAAATTTGTTTTTTCATTAATTTATTTAAATTTCAGGTCTAGAAGAGTATAAAAATAAGCAAAGTGGCACATATAGTGGAGGAAATAAAAGAAAACTGAACACTGCTATGGCTCTTATAGGAGATCCTCCTGTAGTATTTTTGGATGAACCTACCAGTGGTGTAGATCCCATAGCAAGACGTAATTTATGGCAACTTTTAGCTGTGAGTCAAAAAGCTGGACAAGCTGTTATACTTACTTCTCATAGGTATTGTTTTCTAGAAAAATGATATTTTTCTAATAAAAGNTAGCTGTGAGTCAAAAAGCTGGACAAGCTGTTATACTTACTTCTCATAGGTATTGTTTTCTAGAAAAATGATATTTTTCTAATGAAAGTGTATTTTTTTTAAATTTTTCATAAAATTTTTTAGTATGGATGAATGTGAAGCTTTATGTAATCGTTTAACCATAATGGTAGATGGGGTAATGAAATGCATTGGTAGCATTCAGTACTTAAAAAATCGATATGGACAAGGATTTACAATTATGATAAAGCTTATCCATAATGGTAATCAAGATTTAACTGCTCTAAAAGAAGATATAATGCGTCAATTTGCTCCAGATATTTATCTAAAAGATGAACACAAGGTAATATGTTGGTTAATATTAAAAAAAACTAAATAATAATACATTTCTTAAATGTCCTTTCTCTACGTTTTAAACTTTGAGGTTGAATTTAAAATAGCCCTGAAAACTATATTTAAAAAGTTGGCAGTAATTAACGTGCAATATAGCAATTAATGTAATGTATACAGATTATAAAATGAAGAGTGTAGAAATAATGTTTTATGTAGTAATTCATAAAATATATTATCTGATTCTTTAAATATAATTAAATGGCTTCGTAGTATGTTATTTCACAAAAATGTAATGTGCACAAATTTTTTAGATTTCATATTTTTGTGAACTATGCTATGAAGCCATCTACTTATATTAATAGAATCAAAAAATATATTTTACGAATTGCTACATAATACTTTATTTGCATCAACTCTTCATTTTATAATCTGTATACATTATAATTTTTTTAAATTTAATATTTGTAACATTTCAAAAATTAAACCATTATTTTATGGATATGTATAGAAATATGTTTAACTTATACTAGATTTACTAAAAAATTTATATTTATTGTTTGAAAAAAAATGTCACCAAAAAAATAATTTCTCATAATGTTACAAATTTAAGATAATTTTTTTAATAATGACCAAAAGTGTGATTAATACATTTTTGCCCTTAAAGATTAATAAATGTTTGGAAATATTTTACTGTTTTTTGTTAGTTATTTATTTTTAGGGGGTTGAACTTTATCTATCATTCTTCATTAATTTGTTTACAAATATTGATAAAGTTCTATGTACTTATTATTTTTTACTATGAATTTTACAAAAGTTTAAATAAGTTTATGTTCTAGATAAATTGTATTATTTTTGCTTTTGATGTTACCAGCGAGTGCTTCTTTCAAAGTTATTTTGTCTTTTAGAAATATTTATTTTATTGCTGCTTTTTCTATTGTTACCATTTTTTAGGGTTTATTACATTATCATATTACTAATCCGAGAGTTCCACTATCTGATATATTTGGCCACATGAAAGCAATTAAAGAAAACCACTCTATTGTTGAAGATTACACAATTAGTGATACAACCCTTGAGCAAGTATTCATAGCATTTGCAAAAAAACAAGCAATTTTAAACACAAATTTATAAATTTACAATTATTTATTTTCTAAAGTATTTATTAATATTTGTGATATGAATTTATTAATAAATTAGTTCCTTTAATTTCTAGAGTTGACCAAAGTATCTATGTTATTACAATTATGATTTTTTATTTTATTAATATTTCAGTAAATATTTCTATTTATTGAAATTCTCTCATTTGTTTTTTATTAATAATTTTCATTGTTATTATTTAAGTGAATTTTTTTTTTTGGTACTTTTTATGTTTAAATTTGAGATAAAATATTAACTGTTACTTTAAACATATAAATATTCATATTTTTTACCAAGTGATTTTAATATTTCAAATTATGTACTTACATTTAATTATTGCATAATATTTTTTACATGTCATTATTATTTTCATTGTCAATTTTTTAAATTTGCTTACAATTTGTAATAAATGTTAAAATAATAAACTTAAAATTAAATATGTGTTTAATTCACTTAAATTATTAA